GCTCAGATAAATTTGACTGGAACTGTCACGTCACCGTCCAGCTACTCCACCGCTATACTTTGGCCAGCTGACAGTTGTCATTCCTTCACGGCCGCCATTGTCGGCCGTTTTTCCACCTCCGCTTGGCTTGTCAAAGCTTCTCCTGGGTTCAACGGTCCTGGTTGCCACCTAGAACTGCTCCCCAGGACGCCTTGTTATTTCCAGTCCCCCTCCAGGGAACTGGGGACCCCCAAAGGATCTGTCAAGCAGTCGGGAACGGGGTTAGATGCTCCGGAGAAATGTCCAACACACCCGTTCTTCTTAACAGCTGGCCCCGCCCCCCAAAACAATCATACAGTTTGTAGTGTACGTAGATTTGCAAAACAATGGGATAAAGGAATATTCCTGAACTTTGTTTTATGATTTATCTCATGGTTACTGTGGAATTGTGTGAATGCATCAATGCAGTGCATGTTATCTCAGCTTTCAGATCTTGGATTCATTGAATGAGTTTACCAAAAATGTAAATATTGCAGAATATACAGCCTCATGCTACATAACTAAGCTCCATTTCATGCTGAATAAACTAAATTATTAATGTATCTTAAATAGAAAACTCTCTTTAGATAGATTTTTTACTCCAAAAGCATTTTATTAAAATAAATTTGATAAAAATAAACAATCCGATTTATATCAAAAAAATTGATTTAAATAAAAAAATCATTGATTATTATCCACCCTGGACATGCAACTGTCTTAAGTTGTAGGTGCCATTTTTGTGGGATCAGATTCCAGAGTAGTAGCTTTGTACCACCTATTATAGAAGAAGACTATGCTATTGAATGAAATCATCACAGGTAATGGACATATGAATGCTATTCAGCAAGGTTTGGGTTTATGTGATATGTGACTAACCAGTGAGAGGGACCAGCTTAGGATGGAGGATGTTGTGTATGTTGTGGGGGGACTGGAGGAGGGGAGCCCTTGGTGCTGACAGCTTGAGCTATAGCACCATGGGAGCTTCCTCCCTCACCTATCTCCCCAGGATACCTGAAAGAATGAGAGTGGCTTGAGGGGGACGGCAGTGCCCTTGGGTCTACGAGGAGGGGGGAGGGGGATGATCACCTTGGGGGGGTGTGGGTCAAGACAGTGCATTAGAGTGGTGACGGGCATGGGATGCTACGGGAGCCAGAGGGCAGGCCGTTACAGAGGAAGACACCCCCAATGTGTTGTGTGTTCCGAATCCCTGAGCTCACTTCCAGTTTCTGGACAGCATACCCACAGAGGCCCTGAGGTTCGGGTGCTGCTGGTGAATGCCAGGTCAGTCAATAAGGTTCTCCTTATTTAAGATCATAATGAGCGAGCCGACTGGCATGCATCATTGAGACCTGGCTGACTCCATAAGGGGGGTTTCCCCTCTGAGATGTATCCAGCCAGTTTCTGAAGCTGGGCTCACAGGATCAGTTGGGATTGTTGCTAGTGTACCAGCCTCTCTGCTGCATGGCAACATCCCTACCTGAGCTGCTGGAGACTGTCTCAGGGCTGTTGGTGGAGGTTCCCAGACTTAGGTTCTGGGAGACTTCAACCTACCATCTCTGGGTTCGGCCTCAGAAGCAACCCAGAAGTTCATGACCACCATGGTGGCCATAGACCTATCCCAGATCAACATGGGTCCAACTCAGGACAGTGGTCATACACCAGATATGATCCTCTTGTCGGAGCAATGGCAATGTGATCTGGTGGGGGATTTAACATTATCCCCCCTGTTGTGGTCAGATCGCACTCTGGTGTCCTTGAGACTCTCTTATGCCATCTCCCTCTGCAGGGAGGCCAGACCCATTCGACCAGTCCGCCCCAGCGACTGATGGACCCAAATGGGTTCCAGAGGGGACTGGGGGATATCCCAGGGGTTCTGCTGCATGGCCCTGCCAAAGCCTTGGTGACAACCTGGAATCAGCTGTAATGAGCCGTGGTGGCGCAGTGGTTAGAATGCAGTATTGCAGGCTAACTCTGCTCACACTGCTAGGAGTTCAATTCCTTCGATCCTGACTGGCTCAAGGTTGACTCAGCCTTCCATCCTTCCAAGGTTGGTAAAATGAGGACCCAGATTGTTGGGAGCAATATGCTGACTCTAAACCACTTAGAGAGGGCTGCAAAGCACTGTGAAGTGGTATATAAGTCTAAGAGCTATTGCTATCAAAGAGCAACTGAGGCTTTGGACAGGATCATGCCTGTTCAGCCTCTCTTGACCCATTGCTCCCGACCCTCCCCGTGGTTCACAGGAGCTGCGGGTTCTGAAAAGGATTAAGAGATGCCTAGAGCACTGCTGGAGGAAAACAAGGGATGACTCTGACTGGACACAAGTTAGAGCTGCTATTAAGGCCTACCTCGTGGCAGTAAGAGCGGTGAAACAGCATTATTTCTCTACCCTTATTGAATCTACAGAGTGTCGCCCAGCAGCCCTGTTCCAGATCACCTGGTCCCTCCTGGGAGAGGAGGGCTCAGATGACCATCTTCAGGGCTATGCAAAGGAATTTGTTCAACACCTGACGGACAAAGTCACTCGCATTTGTTTCCAGTTGGAACTCGTGTGGTGGAGGTCCATGTGAGATGCCTGGGGAAAGGTCTTGCTCAGAGTATTTGGGAACAGTTTGATCCTGTTGGACCTGAGGAAGTGGACAGTGTCAGTGCCCTCAACCCTGTCAGTGCAACCACCTGTCAATTATCTCAATGTCCCTCCTGGTTGGTGACAGCCTCCAGGACGTTGACTAGCAGGTGGGTCCAGGCAGTGATAAAATTCTTCACTGCAGGAGGGGACATTCCCAGGGCCTTTTAAGGAGCCCCTGTTTTGCCCCTTCCTTGAAAAACAATTGCTTGATCCCACCTACCTGGACAATTTTCTTCCAGTTTCCCATCTTTTTTAGGGAAGGTAGTAGAAAAGGTGTGGTTGCTTGGTAGCCTCAGAGGGTCCTTGATGAAATGGATTATCTGGACCCCTTTCAGGATTTAGACCCGGTTATGGGACAAAACAGCATTGGTTGCACTTGTGGATGATCTCTGGCAAGAGCAGAGACACAGTGGCAGTGGCTTAATGACGCTGTAGATGGTCTCTGCTCCAGCGGTTTGAGTCCTAGCACTGTGTGGTGGGGTGAGCTCTCGTCATTCGCCTCAACTTCTGCCCACCTAGAAGTTCGAAAGCATATTCTATGCGAGTAGATAAATAGGTACCACTTTGGTGGGGAGATGAGTTGGTGCTCCGTGCAGGCAGTGAGATTCCTGCCGGCTCTGAACCTTCCCGCTTGTGATGCCTGTTTGTGAGGTGGCTCCAGGGAAGGGAGGGGGGCCTTGGATGCTGCTGCAGGAAGAGCTACTCATTCTGGGGCGAAGCCTGCTCTCCTGCGATGCACCTTGGGAAGCTCGTGAGCGTGTCTCACAACAGCTGGTAAATTGGCAGCCAAAGTACTCTGCAATAGCATTGTGGTCTCCTGGCCAATGTAACAATGCCATACGCTAATAATAATAATCTGGCAAGAGTGGGATGGAGGTAGTGCAACCATCCTTGATCTCCTTGACCTCTCAGTAGCCTTCGATACCATCAACTATGGTATCCTTTTGGGCCAGCTATGGGGTCTGGGGCTGGTCAGCACAGTTTTTCGCTGGTTTGGCTCCTTTCTCCAAGGCCGTTCCAATCGGTGTTAATAGGGAGAGAGAGATCCAGCCCACGGCTATTCTTGTGGCATGCCGCAGGGCACAGTACACTTTCCACTCCTTTTTAACATCTACATAAAGCCGCTGGGTGAGATCACCTGTAATTATACATTGAGGTATCACCAGTACGCTGATGATACTCAGCTTTACATCTCCACCCCGGTGACCAGTTTTGGGGGGGCCTAGAGTGGCCCATATTACACCACTGTTCTGCGAGCTGCACTCACTGCCGGTTTGCTTCTGGGTGCAATTCAAGGTGTTATCACCTTTAAAGCCCTACATGGCATGGTTCCAGGCTACTTGAGGAACCATCTCACCCCAATAGGACTGGCCATCCGCACATGTGCCAGCAGAGGAGGCATGCTGCAGTCCCTGTCGGTCAGGGAATTGCAGCTGGCGGACTCCAGGAGAAGAGTCTTCTCTGCCATGGCTTCTGCCCTTTGGAACATCTTGCCCCCTGAGGTCGGATTGGGTCCCACCCTCCTGCCCTTCTGTAAGGACCTGAAGACCTGGCTCTGCCAGTTGGCTTGAAGCCCCAATGGAGTATCATGCTGGATGTGGTTGATGGACCAATACCAGATCCTACCTCACCCCTGTACATTCTGCTTCCTCCCTATCGTGTAGCCATAACCTGTATTTTTATTGTGATTACAAACACACATACATGGTTTTATTGCTTTTAATGTTCTAAAATGCCTGGAGTCACCTCGCAGCAAGATGGGTGGCAAACAAATGTAATAAATCAATAAAATCTCTGTAGAGCATAGTTGTTGATGGGAATTATATATTCCAGCGTGCCATTGTGATTGTATCTTTACCCATGTATCCATACAGGAATCTTTGCATTTAATTTTCCATTATTTGTTTTATGGTCGAATACTGATTTAGAAAAGAATACAGCAACTTCTATTTAGTACTGCCATTGGAACTCCAAATGGTTCCCTCCCAGTCAGCATTTTTCCTTCCTGATGTCTGTTTCATCATCTCTAACAGCCTCCTTTAAACTGCAAAGCTGGCGAGCACAATGGGAAAAAAGCAAAACAAGAAGAAAGTGGAGGCGGTCTTAGAAGAGGAAGAGGAGGAATACGTGGTGGAGAAAGTTCTTGACAGGCGGGTAGTGAAAGGCAAAGTGGAATACTTGCTCAAGTGGAAAGGCTTTTCAGAGTAAGGCTGCTGTCCCTTTATTTCATAGTTTTGTTGAACAGAAAGATTAGAACTGTGGATTTTTAGAAATCCAGTTCAATGTTTTAAAAATTTTACCTTGTGGCAATGTATCCTCTCTCTCTCTCTCTCTCTCTCTCTCTCTCTCTCTCTCTCTCTCTCTCCCACTTGATAAAACCAAGACGCAGAACAACATAACATCACTGAAATCTTGGTAATTTGATTCTACTTGTCACTAAATACTCTGTGTATAGTGGATATAGAAAGTCTATATACCCCTCTTAAAATGCCAGGTTTTTGAGATGTAAAGAAATCAGACCAACATAAATCACTTCAGAATTTTTTCCACCTGTATCATAACATATAAGCTGTACAATTCAATTGCAAAAGAAACGGAAATCTTTTTGGGAGAAAAAAATAACAAAAAGTGTACAATAACTTAGTTGCACAGGTGTGCACACCCTTAAACTAATACTTTGTTGAAGCACCTTTTGATTTGATGACAGCATTCAGTCTTTTGGGGTAAGAGCCTATCAGCATGGCACATCTTGCCTTGGCAATCTTTGCCTACTCTTCCTTGCAAAAGCGCTCCA